CTGCGTGGTTGGTTAAACCACGACAAAGACATCCTTCCTGCTTTCATGACAAACAGACCTGAACCAAATAGAGGATCACTAATCTTGCACACAAAATCTCCTAAAAACCAATCCACATCCATTTGTACTTAACCGCAAGCCGCCTTCTCTGGTATTTTAAAAAATAACTCCTAGACACATTTATAAAGTAACTTTGATTAAACAAGAGTGGAACCTGCACCTCAGTGACCCAAAATGCAAGAGCAAACTGCAAGCAAAAACAAAGAGATGAAGACATCACACCTAAAGATTCTTGTTTTCCTCCCTCATACTTAAGTCTCACACCTAAGTTTAACAGGAATTTTATCCAACACAGCAACTTTTCCTCCTTCGTAACACCAGTTTCACAGACAAGATGGTATAGACTTTTCTCCCACAAAGCTAAGAATTGTGAAGATCTTTCTTTGCTCCTTAATGCTTCGAACAACTTGCTTCTTGCAACAAATTATGCACTTGGATTCTATTGATCAGCACGCAACACCGAGTCCTGAAGAGCAGACTCTTCCTTCTACTCTTCCCTTTTTCAGAACGCTCCTAGCAGAGACTAAAAAAACCCACCAACACCAAGGGAAAAAAAACCCAGCAAAAACCCAAACGAAACACCCCCCCCCCACACACACACACATTCTGCTCCTATAGCAAATGCTAACCTAAATATTTTGAGGAAAATAAGATACTTAAGTAGAGATTTACAAGATGATCCTTAGGGAGAAGGGAATGGAAAATTCCTTTATGTTGTTTCTTAACATTTACTGTCCCTTCCTCAACTTACAAACTAGAATCAGGAGGACAGAGCAAAAGTCCTTGACACTTTTCACTTCTGCACAGAACCTCCTTCATGCACATGCTTGCATCTAACAGAATTTAAAACAAGCAGCAAGTGACAGCTCCAGCAACTCCTTCCTCAACTAGCAGTCACTTGTTCCTACTCAGTAGCTTTTTACCCTTTCTAGGGTATTGATACCCAAGGTGACATCAGAGTTTTTCAAGGTAAGTTTTGCTTTACTTCTAAACATGACCACCTGAAAAAGGAAAAAAATGATGCTCTTCTTTCATACTCCTCCACTTCCAGAAATCGGGGCGGGGGGGAGCAGTATGACTTATTTGGAGGAAAAGATACATGGATTTTTAACATACACACCATTTCTTTTCTTCATTAATAACAAGCAATGAAACAGATAATTACTTTCAGTGTTAGCACTCAAGTATAGGAAGTTATGCTAAGAACAAGATACTCACACACCCCTCTCCCCTCCTCCCAAAAAAACCCAAAGTGTGAAAGCACAACATTTAATTTTCAATCACAAGTTCCAGTAAGTTTGTGTTTAATGTTATTTAAAAACAAACAAACAAAAACCAAAACAAAAAAAAAACTCCAAAGTGATCTGGAAACAGCAAACACAGGTACTCCCTTTGTAAAAGTGTGAAATACAAAGCAAAAAAAAAATTATGCAGTTCCAAATTATCACGGAAGTAAAATCTGAAGATCTCAGGG